TGACAACAACTATGAGAATAGGAAATGTCTGTCTCAAGACTAGCTTTGTTTACACGAAGAGGAAAGCTTCGGAAAACCCAACCCAACATAAGAGAAAAGGAAAATCCTTTGCTTTCTCCTTCCCCGCAGTTTACCAAACCTTCAAAAACCCAGAAAACAGCTCAGGTTCACAATATTCACCATTGTTTTCTCACATCACGGTGTCCCTTTTCCGGAGAGTACGAAATTTCTCTTCTCTTCGTCTGTAACTTGAAGATTTTTGATACCCATCTGGAATAGAGGGGGAGCAGTGAGCAGTCCTTTTCTGGGCTTCAATGGCGTGCCCCAGGAACTCAATCCTGTACAACGGCACCCACTGCGCTTGCCCAGTTGGGTTCTTGCTCAACCGCACCACCAATAGCTGTGCGGTTTTTGCGGCGAGCTCCGAGATTGAAACGGATTCTGGGCCTGGAGTCGACTATTTCGCTGTTACCTTACCGGAGACTTTCTTTTCCTTCGACACCCTTAAGAAGTTTACCAAATCTCAGGCCGTTTTCTTGGAGGCCACGCTTGTGATGTTGTTGTCCTGGCTTTTCTTTTGCTTGTTCTTGCGGTTTATGAAGCTTGATGATGGGAGCAGCATTTGGTTTAGGATTAGGTGGTGGCTTAGTCGGTTGGATGTCTGCTTTGCTACCAGGCATTGGCTGGTTAGTTCTGAGATTTTGCTTCTGTTTTGAATGATTCCAGTTCTTTTTTCTTTCTCCATGAATTATACCTTTTGAGTATGTTTTAGTTGAAGGGGTTTTCCTATTCTTTTGGATGACAATTGTTTGTAACATTATTGAAATTGCAAGTTAGCTAGTTTAGGGTGCCTGCTTCTTCACCATTTGCATCTCTTTTGTAGTTAGTTTTCCTCTTATTTTTTATTTGAAGAGAATTGATCTCTTTTATACAGTGTTCAGAAATGTCATCTGAAGCAACAATCCAGAATTGCTTTAATTTGTTCTATGTTTTGATTAGGATGATCAGAAATTGGTTGTGAAAAGGAAAACAGAACTTGGTGGAACTTTCTCAATTGCAAGCTGGATACTATTCACCGGTTTGTTTGCTGCGTGAGTATGGATTGCTTCCTTATGTAAATGGAATTCAAGTGTTGTTGTTTGAACAAGCAAGATTCATAGATTGTCTGTTTTGATATAAGAGTGCACGTTGGTTTGATTTTTTAAGCTTTTACTCAGGTTGCTGTATCAAGTTATCTCAAAGAGAACAATAGAGGTGCATAATGTGAGAGCAACTAATGCTCCTGACTTAGCATCCTTCACCAATGACATGGAATTTGAAATAACTACCGTTTCTAGTATGAGCTGCTTGAACTTACGTGTTCCTACTACTTTGGTTAGTGGAAGTTCTGGCTTCATCAACCAGAAAGTCACTTCCCTTTCGAGTTTTCTGAAATATTCCTGTCGGAACACTAGTATGGGGCCAGCCATAACATTCAGGTGCAACAATTGCCGTCTCACTCAAGACTATATGTCCATTTCGTGGCAGTTTGTTGATCTACCAAATAATCCTGCATCTGCTGTTGGCTTTCAGTTCAACTTAACTGCAACAGATCATGCCAACAGCAAGCATGTGAGTTTTGTAAGGGGAACATTGAAGAATGGAAGCAATCTTGATAATAGTCCAGTCACATTCAGAGGAGCAGATGAAAATATATTGATATTTAATTTATTTCCCCGAATATATCGCAACTTACATGATCTGAGGCTAATCCAACCTCTGTTTCATGAATTTGTCCCTGGTTCAGTTTTTAATGAGACCTCTCAGCTCCAAGCATCTCTTGGGAATTCTAATGATGGACTGATCAACACCACTTTATACATCAACTATCTTTCAGCCTATGTCATTGAGATTGAAAGTCAAACTGTAATGGGTCTTGGTAAGTAATTTACTCTACCTCAGTACTTGTTTGCCTTTAGTGCACTTGTATTGTTGAATGTTACAAGAGGCATAAGAGCAACTCTTGTATTCTTGAATATTGTCAGCATGCATTCCCTTTTTTGGTCTTTCATCGAACATTGTCAAAGTATCAAACTCTGAGGGGGGAGGGTGGTTTGGAGTAATTTGTGCTACCTATGTATACCCCATTCCTGTCTTTGGTGGGTTTTACTAACACGTAAACCTGTGTACTTAAATTCATGAACATTTTTCGAATGTATTCTAGGCTATTCCATACTGGTTTACAAGAACTCTTGAAAAGAGAGGGAAGCAGGGAAGATGTCCAAATGACCAAAATCCCATCACTTTTTTCTTTTCTTAGTATCTTTCTTGTTTCTGGTTTTCTTGTTAAATTAATAAGAGGTTGGGCAAAGATTTGGGAAATCATCAGACTTGATCTTCAGCCTAAACTTAAAAATACTGTTATTTTATAGTTTGGACACAAGTTTTCAGAATTTTTCTTCTTCTTCTTCTTCTTTTATTTTATTTTATTTTATTTTATTTTATGGTCACTGCTCTACATTGCTCAACTAGATTTTATTGTATCATAATTGCTGTCCATTCTGATTTTATATGGTATCTACTCTGATTTATTTCGGAATATTCTTTCTTCAATTTGCAGTGAGCTTTCTAGCAGATCTTGGTGGCCTATATTGCATTAGTATTGGAATATTTCTTTACCTCTTGGTGCAAGTATGATTCTCACCCCTCTTGAAGCTAGTATTCTTCTCCTTCCCCCCTGCCCCATAGTTTTCTTGATAAATTTTGAATTGAGAATTAATGTAAATACATCAATAAATGTCAGAAAAGTGTGAAATATGCCTTCTATCTGTGCTAATAAGTAGTTGTCAAGTTTATAACAGTCAGATAGAAATTAAAGGTGGAATAGACTTGGGTAAAAGGGAAGGGGCGGGGAAAGAAGTTATTGATAGAATGCATCTTAGATTTTCTGACTTGTTCAGTTTGTAGTTTGAATACAGAATAAAAAAACTCCGCAATGAAGATACCGTTTTAAGAGGGATCAGAAATCGAAGAAAGGCTCAAGAACACTGGGATAAAGTAATTTTCTTCTTATCTCATTTGCAGCTACATTCATGCATTTTTCTTATATTGAGATGTACTTCCAGTGTGTTTGAACTGACTAATTTGCATCTCTAACCAGTTGAGAAAATATGTAATGTACACATGGGGATCCAGCATAATGAATGATGACCACATCCACACCCAAAAGGGAACAACTTGTTGCAGTTTCATGACTTCATCAACTCACAGTAAAGGACCATTCCCTCTCCAAGGAAGTTCAAGAAAGCCAAAGCAGCAAAATATTAAGGATGCCATCAGCTTTAACAAGAAAGTCAGCTTTCCTAGTGAGAAGGTTCTGTTTATTCTTATCTGCATTTTGTTCACGTACTAGTTTTCTAACTTCTTTTTTCTTGGATTCATTAATTTTTTACATACTCTGTCATTTGGTGGGTCAATTGTTTTTAGAACACAATTCTAGAACACACACAAGCTCAGGAAGTGAAATCTTCTGCAACAGGAACTACATCAAACTCTGACACGAGGTTGCCAAGTTCAAGGAGTGAACCTGTACGCTACAGCTTCTTTTTTATTTTGTTAGATATTTATCTTATTTGACACGTATTTGCATCAGAACATCTAATTACTTGTAGTACATCTTTCACCTTTTACTCCCACATGAAAATTTTGAATATTTTTACTGCTTCATGACATACTCTATTTAATTAACTAGGCCTTACACTTGCTCTATTTGGTCATTCAGAATGTAGAAAAAATTATATTAAGATATAACACATATAACCATATTTAAGAAAATTTTTGTTTAATACTGCATGGGCTTATAAATTCTTACAAGCCAGGCTTGCAGGCTTGAATGGGCATGAGCTCTTGGGTACCTGTTTTTATCATTTCCTTAAATTCAAGTTGATGGAATATAGGTGTTTTTTTTTTTTTTTTGGCCTTCAATCTGACGAAAGTAGTTAGAAATGCCTTAACATTTTTTTTTATTTTCTTTTTTTGGTCAGATGTCTTTTTAGATTTAAATTGAAAAAGAAAGAATAAGTTTTAGTTGTTTATTAGTATCAGTAATGCTGTTAAACAATTTTGTTGTGAATTGTTTTGTGGATGTGGACATGTTCTTTTTAGTACATGCACCTGGCTGGCTAACCCTGACGTCTTTTATGTATTTCTTCTCCAGCCCTTGAAACGTGGTATACCTGGACCTGCAAATGGCAAAGAAAAACATTTTGTTCCATTACTGAACACAGTTGCCTTCCAGCATCAAGCCTTTTCTCTTGGCAGTGACATCATTCCTCCACCACCACCACCACTAGGTAGCAAACTAATCGTTAGGTTTGTGTTGTTACTATCATTATCATTATCATCAAATAATGTACTGAAGAACATTATCGGGATAACTTGTGTGCTGTTGAAATCAATTTTTATCTTCCCCTCCTGCTGAATGTACTGAAGAACATTACTGGGATAACTTGTGTGCTGCTAAAATCAATTTTTATCTTCCCCTCCTGCTGACAACCAAGTATACATTTCGAATCATATCTTTAGTTTACAGATACAATAATCAAACTAGCATGAGTTTGTTGATTCCTCACCTTCATTTTCATGCATATTATGGGACATAATTTTTCCTGATGTTGCATAAAAATTTTTCACACTTTCTAATAAATAAATTCCTTTCAATCCCAAAAACTTGGAGTTTGGTGGCATTTAATTAATTACATATCTTTTGTAAATCTGCTTCATTTCCATTCCAGAACTGAAGGATGACTCTGAGGTTGAGATGTCAGACATCAAGAAGAATTTCCAATGTTTGTATGAGTACAATGTAATGCTGCGGGAGAAGTTTGTAGCTACACAATCTTTGCTTCATGCTTTAGCAGCCACATCCTTGTCACCTGCAACAGAAAGCCATAAATGATATATTGGTGAGTAGTTAAACCGCATTTTTCTCATGCCACGGTCTGCATAAGTCTGGACTTTCTTTGGACATGTTGTCATGAAAGTACAGTGTTGAGTCAACTCTTATCCAGAATTTTTCAGGTTTAGTCTTGCTCCTCTTGACTTCACCGCAGTCATAAAAGAACCACGAAGAAATTCATGCTTCGGAAGAAGACTGAGTTAATTCAACTGAAGCTACAAGGAATAGCTAGTTGGTTTGGATGTCAGACTGTTGGCCAGCGCGTTGCAGTGATACAGATAATCTTTGCTGATAACAGGATCAGGATCAGAAAGGCACATGATGACACAATGATTGCCTCTAAAGCTTATTCTGTGTAACATACAAGAGAGAGGAAAGATAGAAGTACTAGACAATGTATAGAAACAGATTTGAGGTTGATTAGTTAGGTCAATAGGATACACATGGTTTCATTACTGTAGTTAACATTTTTGGATAGCTTGGGTAATGATTGCTTTTAATTATTGTCAACTCAATATGAACCTTATATGGGAGTTGTGTCAGGTATGGACCATGAGTCCATGACACAACAATATTTAAGAAGCTACACTGCATGCATTATCTTATAAATAAGTGGAAATTCTGTTCGAGGATTGAAAACAATGGAAATCATTCCACAATCAAAAGGTCCTATCACTAAAAATCTAGAATTTCTATCGAGGAGGTTTTTAGATGGTACACACAATGAGTCACAATATGATGATTGATTGATCAACACCACTTAGTAATTAATGTCAACTATCCTATCTATCTTTCAGCTTCTCTGTGATAGTCAGTTGCTCCTTGCAATGTTTTGGAACGTCAGTTGCTCTACATTGTCACAGACTGATCCATCATTCTCACTTGCACGTATGTCTCCGACCAAACCTAGATAAAAACAAGGCGTTGCAGTTAAAGATAAAACCAGTAACCATTAGACACTTTTCTAAGGTTCCAAAGAATTATCATCTGTTCATGAAGTCTAAACACTTACGAGCATCCTTCCTATTCTTATATTTAACCAAAATAATAGCTTCCATATTGCCGTTATTAAAAACCCGCAAAAGCCAATTGAGAAAATAAAACAGCCCAATAACAATAATTGGAACCTTATGATAGAGAGAATGGAAGGATCAGAGGAAAGGCGGATCGTTTGCCTGTTTGGAAAAAGCTCACCAGATCAGAACCCAATTCGTAAAATCCCTCAAAACTGGGGCAAATAAATGGTAAGATTGATTTCCATTTCTGCCTGTACGGTAATCTATACCTCTTATCAATCAGATATCCAAACCTAACTAAAACCATCTATTCAATAATAACAAACAAAGGAACCTACTGACATCTTCCTTTCCTTTCTAAGGAACAATTTAATACGACCTAAGATGCAGTAACTATTACTACCAACGATGTAAGTATTATTCTCCTTATCCATCAGATGGAAAAAATCATCCATATTTTATATTTAAATTGGGACAATCTGAGGAACAATTTAATAGATATTTCTCAAGATATGGACAAAAGATGAACTATTACTTCCAAAGATGAAGCAAAGACTGCATATGATGCACCGGGACTTGTATGCCAGTTCGTTAGTGCACTCAATGCTTTGGCTGGTGCCAATATTCGAATCACAGTAATACCGTGCAAATGTCCCTTTCTCCCTACTCCCAAATTGTAACTGTTCAAAAAAAAAAAAAAGAAGAATGCATATGATATGTATCTCAAAAGAGTCCAGCGCACCATATTACGCTTGTTCCTCAATCTGTTTTCTCCAGCTTTAACTCTACATTTACCTGCATAAGTGTATCGTTAGTAGAAAAGTCAAACTCACCAACTTGGATACTAGTAAAATTTCATAGTTCAAATTTTTTGTGCAAAATATTGGATATTGTACTGAACTTGTCCCCATTTTAGCAGGAGTTAACAAATACCAAAGAGTAATCAGTAGCTGGAAGTTTTGCATCAGCAGGAAGATGTTTTACCGCCTCAATGATCCCAAAGAATAATCAGTAGCGATTTTTTTTGTGTGTGAATTGCCTTTAATATTAATACGTGGATCTTTTGATTGACCAAAAAAACAATAATACTGTTGTTTGTGGTTTATGTAGGCAAAGAATGGAAGAATGCAGCAGCTTGTTCCTTGTGAAATAGCTTCTAAATTTTGGTTTAGTTGTTTTGCATGTTGGGTTATAATATCAAGTTGTGCCAAATTCATTTTATAAAGTCTTCATCCAGCATGGGTGGTCAGGTGGTCCTCCTAAATTAGTTAAGTGTGGACTGTGATTTGGTTTGCTGTAACATGAAGTATTTGGTTAACTAGCAATGAGTCAATTTTTAGAGAGTTTGTTATTGATGAGACAAAACTGTTTGAGTCAATTTTTATGCTATGAAAAGTCAATGCCAATGGACATGTACAACTTACTAATATAGCAAAAGGGGCTACAAAGACTGCACTAGGAAAATAACATGTGACCAGTAGATACAAGAACAAGTGGTCTAGAACCAATGACGTAATTAAATAGTAGAAGCAAACTTAATTCCATTTATAATAACAAGCAACCAAGGCAGTCCATTGGATAATTTTGCACAACCAAAATGAAGAAAACTGAATGGAAAGAAAAATGTGGCCTGCAAATTGAATTAAGAGTTGATAATAGCTAGTGAAATTGAATCATGTATGCTAGATAAGCACATTAACATGTATGATTGAAAACCATTTAGCATGTGCGGTTTATACAATGATTAGTGAATAAATTAGAAGTTTGAATTTGCGCAGACTCTAAAATATGGCTTTGTTCCAATTCATTTGAATTAAACAAATTTAAGGAACCACAAAATTAAATATATTCCCGCTCTAAACACCAAAGTGAATGCTGAGTGTAAATTCTTTTATGTGCATGCATTGAAAAAACACAACACAAAATGCTGGCCAACTTTTATAGCCTGTTAGTGTTGTTGTGAACATTAGAGAAAAAGAAATCTAAGTATTATGCAAGGTCAAAAAGTAATACCTTAATCCAAGCAATGTTCCATGTAAAGTAAGCAAGTTTCAAAACAGGATAAAAAAAAAAAAGAAGAAAAACACAGGGTAGGAAGTGCTTTGAATAGAAGTGAAAATTCAACCGACATGGATCACTTGTAATTTTAAGTAGACCAAGCTCAAACTAAATGCTGACCCTTTCTTTCTATGCTGAGCCACACTAATTTCGTCGTACTTTTGCTCAGCTAGATGCCACATTGCCCCATTGGGATCCTCCGATCTCACTTAGAGTCTAAGTTATATTTGTCATATATTAATTTATAGCCTACTCAAGCTTGCTCATCTCCTTTTAGCTAAGCTACTGAGACTAGAAGCTATGTCTAGATGCTACGTAGCCCCTTCAAAGCAATAAGTTAACTTCAATGTATACTATGTCTAGATGTGTTATGTCTCTTTTTAACTTGTATGATTGCTCAGGTGCATATCCACATAGACTTTTTATAGGCCAATCAAAAGACCCACGTATTGATATTAAAGGCAATTCAAACACAGACACAAATTGCTAAACTGCATATGCTCCATACTACTCCAGGAAGTTTATGAGCATAGACTTTTCTCAGCCAATCAAAAGATCCAAATATTAATATTAAAGGCAATTCACACACACCGAAAAAAAGGAAGAAAAAAAAATTAAGCTGAAGATGCACTATACTACTTCAGGAAGTTGTACAGAGAAAGTGAGAAGAGAATACTACCTGTTGCTTCTTTGTCTCCTCCCTGAAATTGCTACTGCAACTACAACAAATCTCAACCAGAATACTGTAAAGCGAACGAGAATAATCAGTGGTGGAGCACTAGAATAGAGCAAGTTTAAAGAGAAAGATTGGAGTACTACGTTTTCAGTTGCGATTCCAACACGACAAGTCTCAATCTCCTCAACAAAAATTTTACTGCAACAAAAATGGATGGGCTATAAATGTTGGAAGTGGAACAAATCAAGAGAAAGAGAGAGTTAGTGTGAAAAATACCTGGATTTCGCATTTTATAAAGTCTCCATCCATAGTGTTGGTTTCATTAGATTCCTCATGCCTGTGGTTGTGCGACATGAAGAGAGAGTGGTAGCAAGGAACTAGGAAGGTATGAATTTTCAGAAAGAAATACTTTGCCAATATTTTCCTCCCTTCAAGATTAATGTTGCCTGGTCCACCATTCACGACGATTATAGCCGCAATCTCCATGACATGGATCTAGCTGCCCTTTCTTCTCGCCCGCTGGATGAGAACCAGCGGAGCTGGTTGCTCGGCCCCAGCGAGCAGAAGAAAAGTTCAGACCCACCTTTGCACAACTAACTTCAATTTAATCTTGATACGAACTTCTTGAAGATTGCTGTCTGGATTTTGTACTCCCTGATAACAAACTACCAAGTGTCAGCAACAAAGTAAATGTCTGCAAGATTCAACCTACCAAGTGAAAATGTTACCATCATCAAATAGTTGTGAAATTATGAAACTTGAGTACATGAAAACCAAAAAGGGAAAATAGATGACAATACAATCTAGCAAATAGTCGATAGCAACTCTCTGCATACTTCATTTTCAGAAACTAAGTTCTGTGCCGCTCCTTGAATGCAAATTTAGCATTCAGAATCTCTACTTCATCAGAATGAAAGAAATCATTATTATTTGATCAACAGTTTCAAAGTAAATCTATCAAACTATGGAAGTATTGTTGACAACCACTTAAGATTTCTAAAATTAAGGAACAAAGTTTTGATGATGGGAAAAATCAAAGTCACTATCTGTCCAAATAATAAGAGAGTAAGTCACCATAGCCTAGGAGAGATCAAGTTTCAAGGGTTCGATTAGGACTAAAGAAGGACATGCATGTTATTGTCAAGATCAAGATCTTACCTAAGATTTGAAGGGGGAGATGAGATTGCAAATCATGAAATCCCAAATAAGATAGTAAGATCCTAACAAATTAAATTTTTGTATTTATATAATTAACATAAATAAATATAAACTATGTAAATGTCTTAAAATAAATTTTCAAGTTTATTCATTGATGAAATAAGTCTAAAATGAAACATTTAAAACTTCAAATGCTACTTAATAGTCCATAATATAATTTAAAGACTAAACAATAATTACATATGGTAAAGAACAATCAAAATAACAATTCAAAGTTCTTCCACCATGCCATCGTTTTCTTCAACTTTTATATCTTGATTTTCCTCATCAACAAAACTGGTCTCCAAACTCCAATGAATCATGCTTCTCCAATTCATCTTCCTTGTCATCTTCTACAAAATCATCTTCCATGTCATCTTCACTTTCAAGATCTATTAATTCTTCATTTGTTTGGAAATTAGCTAGCTATTTATCATTTGATGAGATATCATCTAACTCAACCTGCTTCCTTATTTTTTTTCAATTTTAAGTTGCACATGACAAACACCAAATCATTCATTTTCTTTTAATATAGGCAAATCTTCCTTTTTGTATGAATCTACAACAATTCATTTATTATAAAATATTAATAAAAATTAAGAAATAATAATATAAAAAAACTAAATATTAGATAGATCAAATTTAAAGGATAATATAATTTTATTACCTCAAATGCACTCCAATTATGTTTACAATTGGATGAATTGCAAGCCTAGCTAAGTATTCAAATTGCAAAATATTACAATTCAAGACACTCGCCTCTATAAGAGTCCCACCAATCAACTAGAGATTTCTTATTTCACATATTTCTTACTCGTTTACTTCCCAATGACCCCTTACAAGCCTTGAAAAGATCAATTTGAGAATCAATTTTATTCCTTTCATCTTGATTCAATACCATCCTTTCCAAGTAATCATATAAACCCCTTTTAACCTCCAAATCAACCTTGTAATTTTCTTTAAGATCAGGATCAAAACAAAGATGGGAATTCAAAAATTATGTTGCTGCATTCAATGGTTTATGGAGTTGAGATGCCCATCTACTATTGATAATTTTCCAAATAAGCTCATAACATAAAAAGAAAGAAAGAAAAAAAGAGGATATGTTAGAAATAGTTAAGTATTAAAATTTAAATAATTAATTATATTAAATAAACAACTAATCATACTCTTTCTTGATATTCTTAAAATTTTCTTGAATCTCTTTTTTGCAACGATCCATCTCTTCATAAATGAAAGGTGTTATACCCTAAAATAAGTTCTATGATAATTAGGACACGTGAAGGTATTCTAGAGATAGTCCTATCAAAAGTAGAATAGGATAAATCTCACTAGAATAAGAATACCCCAAACACCAATCAAATAAAATTGTATTTCTAGAATAACTATATTTAAACATCCTATAAATACCTCTAGGATCAACCTAAGGAGATAGATTTTATTTTTCCATCATTATTCTCTCTACATTGTAAACTCTCTCTATCAATAAAGATCTTGGTTCCACACCATCTACTATATTTTTACAGTTAACATTTGGCGCCCACCGTGGGGCCGAGTTCTTTTTGATCCACGAATACCGCATGAAAAATTCAGAAAATTCATCACCTCCTAGCAGAAGTACCCCAGGTTCCAGAAGCAAAGCCAGAATGAGTAACTCTTCCTTGTCAAGCACGAATCCAAGAGATGTTGTCAATAAAGCCAAACCATCAGGCTCAATTGTAGCATCACAAATACAGAAACTTACACAAGACATGGAGGAGACGAGGCAAAGTTTAAAAGCAATTGAGCGAGCCATAGCATCCATGACAAAAACTGCTAACATGTCATCGCAAGAAGTAAGGCATGAGCGCTTGTCACAAAGCGATGCCAAGACATTAGAGGGGAAGGAGCAAGATTCAACACAGGAAAACAGCAATCAAGATGAAAGTTATGTACCTTCAAAACCAACAGAATTGACGATCGAAACGAGTCTGCAACCATCCTCAGCTTTCACTCAATACAATTTTCGAAGTAAAATTTGATACATCGCACACATTCAAGCCAAAGAAGGGATGGCCAGCAACTCCATAAGGCTACATTTGCCGCAATAGAACCACAAAAGGCAGAAACATAGGTTCATGATGATGGTATTTACAAAGAAATTGAAGCATTGTGACAACATCTGGCAAAAATAGAAGCAGGTAGGCAGAGGTACGCAAAACCAGCACACACAGCGTCAATAGAAAAAGCCTTTTAAACAAAATCATCAGGGAACCTGTGCCATCAAATTTCAAAACTCAGCAGCTAGCCGAATACAATGGAACTCAAGACCCAATGGAGCACGTGCAAGAATGGCAATGATGGTATATGGAGCCTCAAATGCTCTATTATGCAAGCAATTTCCAGCAACTTTCAGGAAAGCTACGCAGACTTGAGCTCCTTGAAAGACCAACCATCATCTCCTAACAATCAAACAGAAGACAAGAGAGTCACTAAGAGCCTACACAGCAAGATTCCATAATGAAGCTGTGCAGGAACAAATTAACAACTTACCAGATAAGTTTCATATCTTTTTACAATATTTAAATAATTATTTTCATAAATTTATCAATTATGATCGTGAAAGCACTAACAATTTTCTCATGTCTCTAAGGTAATTAAGATGACAAAATCTATATAGCTTGTTTCTACTTTGAACTTGTGCAGGAGAAAATTTTAAAGATGATATAATGTGCAGGTGATCTACTGTCACAAAGGAGTACATGTTTGTAGGACTTTCAGACTTAATGCACCTAATAAATAAACATGCGTTTACAAGAGATGTATAACCAAACATCTGCCACATGCAAGAATACACTGGATACCAAAATCTAGTAACTCAATTATGATGTGACTCAAATACTTGCGCAGCATTATCATGATTGGATAGATAAAAAAGCAAGCACTTTGTCAAAAGGTGGAGAATACAACTACTTCCATATTTGAAGAAGATTTGTTACAATCACATTCAACCACATCAAATGATGAATCAAATTTTGCATTCGCAAGGCAAGATAGACATCTCAAAATTCTACATGCACAAATCTTAAAAGAAAGCTGCGATCCCAGCTAAGTATATTTACTTTTTAATTTTCTAATTTTCAAACTTAATAATCATGCAAGTTATTGTGTTTTTAAGAAAACTAACCTTTCCCTTGAGAAACTTTTGGGAGAAGGCCACATAGGCCAAAAAGCTCTAAGCAAAGGAATTCAATTATAAGATGCACAGGTCTAACAAGAGTTATGAGATGGAAAGTCATAAAGCAAAATCCAATGCAAAAGTTACGCAAGCGAAGAAGATGTGAGCAAGTTTGGGTGTACATAAATACCCAAGCAGAAGTTACACAGACAAGAAAAAAGCTGCGAGCAAGTTTGGATGTACATAAATATCTAAGCAAAAGTTACGCAAGCGAAGAAGCTGTGAGCAAGTTTGAGTGTACATAAATACCCAAGCAGAAGTTACACAGACAAGAAAAAAGCTGCGAGCAAGTTTGGATGTACATAAATATCCAAGCAAAAGTTACGCAAGTGAAGAAGCTGTGAGCAAGTTTGGGTGTACATAAATACCCAAGCAGAAGTTACACAGACAAGAAAAAAGCTGCGAGCAAGTTTGGATGTATATAAATATCCAAGCAAAAGTTACGCAAGCAAAAAAGCTGTGAGCAAGTTTGGGTTTACATAAATACCCAAGCAGAAGTTACACAGACAACCAAAAAGCTACTAGCAAGTTTGGATGTACATAAATATTCAAGCAAAAGTTAAGCAAGCAAAAAAGCTGTGAACAAGTTTGGGTGTACATAAATACCCAAGCAGAAGTTACACAGACAAGCAAAAAGTTGCGAGCAAGTTTGGATGTACATAAATATCCAAGCAGAAGTTACACAAGCAAAAGCTGTGAGCAAGTTTTGGTGTACATTAAATACCCAAGCAGAAGTTACACAAGCAAAAGCTATGAGCAAGTTTGGGTGTACCTTAAATACCCAAGTACCTTAAATACCCAAGTAGAAGTTACACAAGCAAAAGCTGTGAGCAAGTTTAGGTGTACATTAAATATCCAAGCATAAGTTACACAAACAAGCAAAAAGCTGTGAGCAAGTTTGGGTGTACCTTAAATATCCAAGTAGAAGTTACACAAGCAAAAGCTGTGAGCAAGTTTGGGTGTACATAAATACCCAAGCAGAAGTTACACAGACAAGCAAAAAGTTGCGAGCAAGTTTGGGTGTATATAAAATACCCAGGCAAAAGATACACAGGCAAACGAAAGCTATAAGTAAGTTTGGGTGTACATAAACACCCAAGCAAAAGGCGGCGAGCAAGCTTTAGATGTACATAAATACCTTGACAAAAGCTATGCAAGATGTGCTACAGAAGTTAATGCAAATTTCAAACCAAAACTCAAGTTAGAAACGGAGCTTTTGAATGCAAAATCTTTGAAGCTAGCTCATTCAATTGCTGATAAGCAGAATTGGACGATTCAAGACAAAAGCAGCAAAAGGGATAAGTTCTTTCTTCTTTTTTAAATACATCATAGCATTCTTAAACTAACAACACAGGTTTATCATACCTTTGCTCTTCCCTCGTATCTAAATAAGATCAACCTTAGCATG